CACAGGGACCGTCACTTGGCCATGGGAAGGAACGATGCGCTCATACATGCTCCAGCAAAGGTGAACCGGGATTGTGACACTCCCCGGAAAAACCACGCACGAGGGGCAGATGTGTGATTCATTAGCAGGGAATGAATCCCCAGAGGGGGCTCTCTGTGGGAACGAAAGCAGATTCTAGAATACTGGAGGGGGTGTTGTTAATGGACTGGGGGACATGAGGGAGTTGGCGGGAGACACGGGGTTCCCTTGTGGAAATAGTGAGGTGCTCTTAAAACTGTTTGTGGCTGCACATTATCTGAACGTATTTAAAAAAACCCACAGAATTATACACTTCCAAAGGGCAGAGTGTGTGCTTGAGAGGTAAGAGCTCAGGCTGTTTAGGAAAGGCTATTTCAAAAGCGCAAGCCTGGGGATGGGAGACGGAAAGGGAGGCGGAAGCTGCTGGGTTGTTGCTGCAGGCTTGTGGGTGCAGAAACCACACTGTTCTGCTCCAGAAGGGGCACAGCAGGAGGACTGGCCTGAGGGCACAGCCCAGGACTGGCGATGGGGAGAGGCATCTGTGCATCATTTGAAAGCGGATCAGAAGCGGATTCCTTCCTGCCCAGTGACTTCTGAGGTCGGGGAGATGTGGTCTGGCTCGGCTCTGGGCATCTGGGCGGGTTCATGCTTTGAAAGCAGCAGCAGATTAGAGAGCCAAAAGGAACAGCTCAGTCCAGCATGTCTGCCTTGGGACGGCAGCTCCGTCTATTGCTTATAGCTCAGCAGCACATGAGAGGTCACCAGCAGTGTAAATCTCTCTAGAAACATTTGTGCTCAGAAAGCAACAACAGCAAGACTTACTGTAAAGCCAGCATGCCTGTCAAGCCTTTGGAAAATGCTGAATGCTGAGGAAACAGCCCTGCCGAGGCCACACAGCCTCCTCCCTCAGGAGACACCTACAGTAGAAGAAAGTGTTAACAGAAGAGGGCACTCGAGGGGACACCACTACCCCATGTTTCCTACTTTGCAAGTGTTCCCGTGGTGGTGAGGCGCTGTCTGTCACGTGACGATCTTTCCTCCGGGAAAAGCTGCTTCAGATCTGAGCTGCTCTCTTCCCACCCTTTTTATGTCGAGGCCTGGATCAATAGGTGCGTCCCCACCCCTTGGTGCCCAGAGAGACCGGAAAACAGCAAAGCCAGTTAAGAGACAGGCTCCTTTGAGGTTGGGCAGGTGATGTTTGCCCAGGCCTTGCCGCGGGCCATCTTCCATATCGATTCCCAATGCGATACTTGACGATACAGACAGAGGAGAGGTGTAATTCTGTAAATTAGGCAAGGCAGGGAGGTTTCGGGACATTTAGGATTGCTGACCAACAGTCTGGGTTAGATTCCTGGCGAAGCACGCCACAAGCATGGACCGGTGAAAGAGAACACTCTGGTGATGCGTCTGTCTGAACCATGCCCTCTTGCTGCCTCTGCTGGGCGCTTCTGCCTTCCCAGGGCATCTCTCCCCTTTTCTTAATATGTCTGCAAATGATCAGCACAACCCAGGATGGAGACCCAAGAGAGGAAGCCACAGATACATAGGAACGAGAACATCAGATACACAAATGGTAGACCTGAGCAAAAAGAAACACAAGGCTTTTCATCATGGAGATGGTTTTGGGGGGCTGGGGTAGGGAGTATGGGAACGAGGATGCAAAATGAAGAACATTGTCAGGACATGGTCCTGCTGGCACAGCAGCAAGCGTGGGAAGGAGCACTCCCAGAGCACCGGAGCACCAAGGTTGGGTGCAGGCAGGCTTACGTGCCTGAGAAATGGGCCTTTGTTCCCTGAGGCAGCTGAGAGCCTTGGATCCCCTCTTGGGTCTCAGGCATTGAGGGCAGAGAGAAGAAACTGAGCCTTGACAGCTCAGGGAGAATGAGGGAAGCATTGGATTCCTGGTGATGCCCTATTGGACTAGAGAGAACCGGTGTCCTTGGGACCCCAATCTGTCGGAGGCTGGATGGGTGGTGCGCCCATTGGCTTGGCGTGGGTAAGAGAAGAGCCTGTACCTGTTGGAGCTGTGACCTCCTGCAGGGAGTGGAGGGAGGGGAAAGGCTCAAGGCTTGGTGGTTGCAGCACTGAGTACCAGGAGTGAGGCTCAGGGGTCTGGCTCCCGAGAACCTTGGTTTCTTTTGCTCTTTGCCTCATGCCTTGGGCGGCCAAATTGGGCCAGCAGACAGAGCCTTTCCATCAGCAGAGACCGTGCTGGGAAGCCCTGCTCTAGGTGCAGTTGGGGCCCCCATAGGGAAACAAAACCAGGGGTATGAAACAGGGCTTGGCTTTCAGTCAGCATTCTTCTCACCGAGGCCACTGTGCTGTAGGATAAACGGTGCCCACTGACTCACAGGTACCAAACCTCAGGACAAATGTACCCAGCACAATGGCAGGCACTCCACACCATGGCAGGCAGGGCTCCTTTGTTGGTATATGCCTGAAAAGACAGTGTATACAGCTCACCTTGACCACTTTGGAGATGGATACCAGCCCTTGGAGTACGTTGATACCCCTCCCCAACCCGCCCACATAGCAGGATAGACACCTGGCAGAGGAGGGAGGATGCCATTTCTGCTGAGCAGTAACAGGCTTTGGGTGGTCCCCAAAGTCATGTGCATCTGTCCTCTGTCCTTTAGGAAGCTCACTGATTCTGTAAAGCAGGGCTGTGTGGCTTACTGGTGCACTTGCCTTCAGGGCCGGCCTCCGGATGGCTGACATAAATTCACACAGGATAGAGTCCCAGGAGGACCCAGGCAGCTTCTCACTTTTGTGGATGGGAGTCCCCAGCCTGTACTTCCTTCCGGGTCGAGCAGGAGGCTCTGAGCTGTGCCTGGCAGGGGATTTCAGGACAGGTTCCTCCCCTGTGATGGTACTTGTCAGAGGGTAGCATGAGGACACGTGTCCAGTATGTTTGCTGAGGGCTGGGGCTACCTTTCCGTCTGTACAGTCACCCCAGCTTCCGTGGCATGTGTCACAGATGGTGGCTCACACAGCAGACATATATCCTTCCCAGTCCTGGGATCTGGGACTCAGAGTTGGAGGATCACCATTGGCCGAATGAGTGTAGAAGGCCCACCCTGAGTGTGGGCAAATGGTCTAATCTTCCTAGTATTCTGGACGGAACAAGAAAGGCAGAAAAGATGGGAAGGCACAGTCTCTCTTTTAGATCTTGGACATCCCTCATGTCCTGGAACAGGATGCCAGTCTCTGTCTTCACGTTTTTCTTGATGCTGTGGGAATTCACTTCGCCAGTAGCTTTGGGGTACCAGCCTTAGGCTTGGCCTTGTGTTCTGCGTCAGGACTGCTAAGCTGGAGAAGAGTGTGCTCTCTTTCTTGGGCTGGCTGGTGCTTGCGTGCTTAGAGAACCAAGCAGCGGACAGATGGAACCAGATGCGGCTTCAGCCCTACTCTGGATTTCTGAGTTTGTCCTTTTCTTTGTACCCCTTAAATAAATCATTTTTTTTAACCTGTTGTAGGTTCACACATCACCTCAATTCTGCTCTCTCCATCTTCTTAGGACCCCAAGATGACAATCGAACAGTCCGGTACAAAGCTCCATTTCAAGGTCCCAGATTTCACCAAACCTGTAAACTTCCTTCACCAGTGAGGGGGAGGGGATGGCATCTCCTAGGAAACCCTCAGGGGCACCAGACAGGTGTATGTATCTAGGCCTTCACACGGGACAGTCATAGTGTACAGGATTGACCTACTCATTGCTATTAGTCTCAAGTGGAGTTTGTAAGATATCTTTTGGATTGGTCCTTGGTCACCTGGAAGGGATACATCTTCCTAAAATCTCTCACTGATAAATAGTGCCTGGTGCTGGCAGTGCCCAGACAGGCCCTGAGTCGCTGATGTGAGCCATCCAGCTGATTCCTACATACCTCACATCTCATGCTGGCAGCCCCTCAGCCCACCCTGAAGGCACCTGCTTCCATCCTTTCTCCTCACACCAAGACCAGCCCTGTGGAAAGCAGGTCACCCCGCCCCTCCAGCGCTTTATTCTCTGGACGCACCAGCTCCTTGGATATTTTAAGCCCTGTCACTTGACCACCTCTCTCCTTTCCATTTCTGTTTTCTCTTGGTCCCTTTCACCCTTCTCTTTTTAAGTAAAAAAGAAAGAATACAGCGAATATACCGCTCTCCTCCTACTGAAGTGGGAAAAAAGAACCCACACAAATAAGATGTTAGGAAGCTCAAGCGGGCAATTTGGGTTTAGTGTGAACTCACTCATTTCTGGGCCCACACAACCCACTCCCTGCCAGGGCGTCTTTATTGCCAGGGTCCCTGCTGGGCCCCACGAGAAATGCAGATAGAGACCGAGTGACCTTAAAGCAGGATCAGACGTCTTTTATTGATGCATGCACTATTTCAACCCACCGTTCATGAAGGCTAGAAAGAAAGGGAGCGTGGAAAAGACACAAAGAACCAAGAAAGGAAATAAATTATAAGTGGCTCCTAGATGGGTATTTTTACCCAGGTCTTGCTTCTGTGACTAATCTGAGTGCTGTCTGCGGTTGAGAACTCTGGGTCTTCTCTTTGGGCCCAGGGATGGAAGGCGGCAGTAGGTTTGTCTGACAGTGAAGCCTTGGCTCCCAAAGACCAACCAAGTGTCACCTCACCTGGATCTCCAAGCAGGGGTTCTCTGGCAGAAAGGCCAGGAATTATCTGTATCAGGAGAGAATTGGCAACACTGCATTTCATTATTCAACATTTGGCCCGTGTCTCTTTTTCCTTGGTGTGTAAGGACTTGGGAAACGGTGTCTGGTCACCATGGTCCATCAACAGTCTCAGGAATGCTTAGGCAGTCAGAGATGTGTGGCCACAAGGGGGCGGTGTCTGGCTTCTCAGATCCACTCCCCTGGTGACTGTTACCTGCTTCCTGCAGGTAAATTGCCCCCTTGCCTTTCTGCCTAACCCTTCAGCAAGCCTTACTGGATCTGCCAATTATTCAAAAGATGCAGCCGAGCTGTGAGCTGTGTGCCTGCTCGATTCCGGCAGGTAGGCGGGAGAACAATGGATCTGGAGCTGTCGGCCTCCGGCAAATCCTGTATGTGCTGCCCACAGTGGTGATCTTTGCTGGGAGTCTTTTCCTCCAGGACTTTCAGAGTGTCAGTGTGTAAGTTCCAGAGCCAGAGTGGGGCAACAGGGGGGGTGGCCCCCCAAACACAGCACCACCCCTTGGGGTTTGGGTACATGTTCCCGGGATCACTTCCTTTATGGAGAAACGTTGATCTTTTTACACCCAGATTAGCTTCATTTCCGGTTCCTTTTCCTCCCGACGTTGAAACCACAACAAGATGATGCTCCCAGCTGGGAGGGGACAGCACACAACAGGCAGATGAGTGGGGGGCTTGGGAGTATCAGTACCGAGTGGCAGACTTGGGGTCATCAGCTGGTGACTTGGAAAACATTTAATTACTTAGAGCAAACAAGATGGAGGGAGAGCCAATTAACAGAGAAAGATGCTCTTTAGAAGCTGGGAACCATTCCCCCCCCAAAGCGTCAGCTGGTTTTCTAGGGAAAGGCTGGGCACCTGTGGGGTGCCTCAGAGCAACAGGGAGCCTGGTGGTCCCGCTTCCTCTTTTTCTCTCCTGTCAACTAACCCAACCTGTTGCTGGGCTTCTGTCCTGGGAAACTGGTACCACCAGGGATGCTGTCCCAGGGGTTGCCTCCAGCACCCCCTCCCAGCACAGACCTGCCCGGAGGATGGAGCCTGATAGGCTCTTGGGGTGCAGCTGAGAGGCTGGTGGAGCCCTGAGCGTGGACAGGACTCTGATCCATGGTGATCAGCACATCTCAGGGCAGGGGAGGGCATTGCCCTGCCGATGGAGGCAGGATGTGGGAACGGGAGCTAATGTCCATGCCCACAGCAAGGCCTGGTGTGGTCTGATGGACTGAGGAAGATGGGAGGGGAGGCCGTGTGAAGACAGGCAGGTTTGGAAGCGACGCGTCTCCAATCCAAGTGTTCCGGCTTCACTTCTGTTGCTGTGATAAAAATCAGCACAGGGAGGAAGGCACTTATTTGTCTTGAATTCCAAGTTGTTGCTGCAGGGGAGTCAAACAGTTAGTCATGGCTCACCCTCCGCTGAGAGCAAAGAGAGAACAAGCATATCCTCGCTGCTCTTAGCCAGCTTCCTCTTCTCTTATACTGTTCAGGACTCTGCTTAGGGAGTGTTGCTGCCCACGGCGGACTGAATCTTCTACATCAGTTATCAATCAAAACAATTCCCCAGAGACTAACCAGATCTAGATATTTCCTCTCAACACTGTGTGTCTGCTTCTACCAATCCCTGCCTTATTTTCTGAGACAGGGTCTCCACTTAAACCTGGAGCTCACCCCTCTGATTGGCTGGCCAGCAAGCCCTTGGATCCTCCTTGTCCCCCCATTCCAGCATTGGGGTTTCAGGTGCACTGGTGTAGCTGGCTTTTTACATGGTGCTGGGGTTGTGAACTCTTGTCTGTATCCAATGGCAGCAGACACCTTATCTACTAAACCATCTCCCCAGCCCTCCAATTTTTGTTTGTTTGTTTGTTCGTTTTTTGAGGAGAAAGGGACGTGTTGAGGATTTGACTCAGGTCTTGTCTGTGCGAGGCATAGTCTGTGCTACTGAACCGCATCCCAAGCTGGTGTTTGCTAATTTGTTCAATTAGTGGCAATTGTTAGGGCAGCCCCCAAAAGCTAGCACAAAAACCTGGGGGTGCAGTGCTAACTCTGACCAAGCGATGGGATAACAATCCCTATTTTCTCACAACTCTCATTCCTTCTTGGTGAAGTGGGTCCTTTGACAGCCTCTGAAAGTCAGCACTCAGGCCTGTGGGAATCAACGCTGTCGGACAAGATCCTGGCGGTAGTGCAGAGAGACCCAGACGGAATTCCTTCCTCTGGGACAGAAGAAATTCTCTTCCTCCCCACTCACCGAGGGAAGAGGCACTTTTCACCATGTAACACATTAATATGGACTTCGTGGTCTAAAATAATGGACTTTTGTTCTCTGCGTTCTCAGTGCCAGAGGCCAAAGCTGAGGGCTCACCAGAGCCAGTCCCTCCTGGATGCGCTAAGGGCGTGGTCATCCGTGCCGCTTTGCCGGCTTCCCCTTGCTCAGCCCTCCTTATTGCCCTTGGCTTGTAGATTCAACTCTTTAGTGTCTGTGGGCTTCTCTGTGTGTTCAGAGAAGCAAGTCAAACCTCACCTTGGCTTGCTCTTGGAAAGACACCAGTCACTGGACTGTGGGTCCAGCCTACACCGAGCATGATCTCACCTCAAATTACGTAATGTGTCTATAACGGTGAATCAGATATTAATTTATATGTTGTGGGAGTTAGGACTTGGACATGTCTCCCCAGGGACCACTATTTAGTATATATAGATTTTCCATATAGGCACATGTACAGCCTATATATTATGCATGTAGCATGCCATATTATACATGCATGTATAATTTCCTTCATGTTCTAAAATTGCACCTCCCTTATAGCTGCAACCCATGTATGCATTAGCATGGATGTTTGCATATTCTGAGCTGGCATGACCAGAACCAGCAGGCTTTATATCTGTTCCCAGCTTTGCAGTGAGGACCATAGGGTCTGAATTTAACCTTCTCTGCTGTTTAACTACCCTCTGAAAGCTTGGACTCCTGGGCTTCCCTTCCTTTGTCACAGAGTCTCCTTTCCCAGGAAGAGGTTGTCAGATTCAGCTTCTCTGGAAGCCTTACGGGTCTGACCTGGGTCCTCTGCGTATATGTTACCACTGTGAAGCTTGGTGTTATTGGGCACCCCAACAGTGGAACCCCAGCTGAATCTCTGACTCTGCTTTTCCTCCTACTGGGTTGCCTCGTCCAGCCTTAATATGAGGGAGGTGACTGGTCTTCTAGTAACTTGTTATGTCATGTTTGGCTGATATCCCTGAGAGGCCTGCTCTTCTCTGAAGGGAAATAAGAGCACTGGATCTGGGGAGAAGTGAGGTGAGAAGTGGGGAGGGCTGGGAAGAGAGGAGGAAAGGGAAACTGCAGTCGGGCTGCAATGTATGAGAGAAAAATAAATAAAATAATGTCAAAAAACATAAAAAAATATTGAAAGTCTCCCTGATCCAGAATGGAAATGAGTGTGAGTTAGCTGGAAGCTGAGGCCTCAGCTGAGAGAGAGCAGACAAAATGATCAGCGACCGATGGCCACGCCATTCCCAGTGACCTCCCAGGCTCTTCCAGGTGCTTCATTTACTATAAGCACTTTCTTTGTTTCCTAGGATGGAATCAGCTTTGACAAACGCAGTCTCTGTTCCTGTCATCTGGATGTGGAGATATGTGGTTCTTAAAAATCAAAATGTCCAGGGCTCTGCAGACACGTGGCAGAGGTCTCCAGACCCCCAGCAGGTAAGTTCCAGGGTTCCCAGAAGACATAGCCGAGGAGGAGAAGGAACAGCAAGTGCGTGTTTTGTTGGAAAGGAATGTTTTGTGGAAAAACAATGCTGTACAGTGCAGGAGCAAAAGCCCAAAACAGGCTCTGGAATGGGAATGACCCGGAGGAACGACATATCAGGATATACGTAATGCAAATGGTGCAAGGAGCCCTTGGCTTGTCTGCTAACTGGAAATATTATGGAAAACCACACAAGCCATGTGTGCACCCGTGTATCACATAGGCTATGGCCAAAGTAAGAACCACTGGTGGCAAATTGCTAGTGCCATTTGAAAGGGAACAAGACTTTGGAAAGTTTTAGCTTGACGTGTCCCTGAAGTTAGACTCAGACCGCCTGGCTTTCGGATTGTCATCATGTGATGTTTCAGTGACAAGGGAAAGTAATTGACCATGTTTAAGGAAAATCAGATTAGAAAAATCAATTACACTTAACGTCTGTTCCTGCAAGGCTGCGAGCCACTGAGACCACAGCTCCCTCACCGCGCTGTCTGCGGAAGTGGGAAATGGGTCGTAGCAAATGGAGGAAAAGAAAACAAAAAGAAATGCTTATTACGGAAATGTTCACGCACGCACGCTGCTCAGAATACTTGGGTTTGACACTCAAAATTATAGGAAGCAATCACCCGAAAAGCTGTTTGTATGCGACCAGAAACAGGATTTAAAAGTTATTCTTGGGCTGGAGAGATGGCTCAGAGGTTAAGGACACTGACTGTTCTTCCAGAGGTCCTGAGTTCAATTCCCAGCAACCACATGGTGGCTCACAACCATCTAAAATGAAATCTGGTGCCCTCTTCTGGCATGCAGGCATACATGGAGGCAAAACACTGTATTGTATATGTAATAAATAAAATCTTAATAAAAAAAGAAAGAAAACAGCTGCATATTTAAAAAAAAAAAGTTATTCTTTCCCCAGGAGCCTGAGATAGGACTGCAGCGAGGTGAAGGCCAGTCTGGGCTACAGTCAGGCAGTCCGAGATGCGGACTGAGGCCTGTCTCCAAACTAGACATTGTTTCAGCACTGTCTAGGTCGCCACCCTGTGGCCTCTGCTCAGGCCATGGCTGCAGGTCACATCAATAACCTGTTCCCCAAACAAACAGAGCCACCACTTTAACTGCACACGGTGAACAGTTTGTATGTAGCCCGGCCTCGACTCTTCCTCTATTGTTCCTGTTATTAATAAGATATGGCAGGCGCTCTGACGAGGAAACAGACTTCATTTATACAGCATACAAAGGGCACTCAAGGAAGGGTCTAGAACATTTATCTTACAACACTTTGCTGCACCAAAATGTCACTGAACACACTTGCAATTGTTGTTGGGGTTCAGAGTCCATCCTTTCTGCCTTAAGAAAATGATGTCCCTGGGCACCTTCTTGGCGGCACCAGGTCATCGGAGTTACATACCAGGCTGTGAGCTTCCTGCTCCCCACAGCACGCCTGTTTGTCATGGAGGACAGACGCTCACGCCAAGTTTTCAGTTGGGAAAGCATGAACCTGAGTCAGGGGCTCCGTTCCCCAGTATCGCTATAGAGATAGTGTTTGACTCCACAGGGTGTGCTCGGTAGATCCAAAAACCACGCGTTCAGAGCCTAAAAGAAAAAAAAAGCTCATTATTAGGAAAAAAAAAAAACCCTCCAACCTACTATGAATTTTGTCAAGGATTGAGAAACCCCTCCATTAAGGAGTTTAAAATAAACCCTGACTTGACTTATATACCAATGTAAAAATGAGCCAAAATGACTTTCAAATAAATTATGCTTAAGGTATTTTAAAACTGCCACTTCGGAACTGTGTTCCCTCCGTTACCCGAAGCGTCGTCTCTGTAATTCATTGCTGGGGTAGGCTGTGTCTGGCGCTGAGCACAACAGTTCAGTTATGTTGAGAAACTGTACCCGGCTCTTCAGAACACACGTCTGCACATCTCCACAGTGAGAGTATGGCGGAAGAAAGATCCTCCTGCCTCCTGTGGAGGCACGGTTAGATTCCGTTCGGTTGTATTTCACCAATTTGTAGGGAGCGGACCCCTATGTGCTTCAGAGTTTTTCCATTTAGCAAATCACAAGGAAGCCAAAGCACAGAAAACCCAAGGGCATGACACAGCAGGAAGTCGCCCCAGCGCATCTCAGAGGAGGACAGGCAGGGAAGCCCAAAGAAATCCCAACAACACTCACTGACTGCCAGGCAGAGAGCACCAGGGGCGCAGCAGATGTTCTGGGCAGAGACATTTCGTTTATTGATTTCAAAAGCCTGCTTTCCAAAAATCATTACTCTCCCCAGGAGAGTGGGGTAGTTCTGGACACTCGCATACTCGCCGTTTTTCGGTGACAAACCTTTTCTTCTGTAGTCTAGGGCTTCATGCGTTTTCTTTCCCGAGGACTGCAGCATACAGAATGCATTTGAAAAGAGCAATCACTGGAATGTCAGAGTGAATTATGGGGCTGGTTTAAAAGTTCACAGGAACCCGTGACATCTAGCCAGCCCCCCATTCCACCATGGCCGTGATGGCAACTCTGTTCACAGAGTGTCAAACCCAGCAGCAAGATTAGGGCGACTCTCTCAGCCAATCTCATGTCACAGCCATCGCCCGAGATCTACTGACACTGGCTGCAGGTCTACCGAGCAGGAACATCCCATGTCTGCAGGGAAGTGGCTAAGGGCTCCCCATCTCACTGTGTGTGCCCAGAGACCCTCTCCTAGTTAGGGCGAATGCGGCTGTGAGGCAACACCAAGACCAAAGCACAAGTTGGGGAGGAGAAGGTTTATGGAGCTGACACCTCCGTATCACTGTTCATCACAGAAGGAAGTCAGGACAGGAACTCAAATGGGGCAGGAACCTGGAACCCAGATCCTGATGCGGAGGCCATGGAGGAGTGTTGCTTCCTGGCTTGGTCCCCATGGCTTTGTTACGGAACACAAGACCACCAGAACATCACCCACGATGGACCAGGCTCTCCTCTATCCTTTACTAATTAAGAAAATGCCCCGCAGGCTTGCCTGCAGCCAGATTTTATAAAGACTTTTTTTTTTTAAATTGAGTTTTCCTCCTCTCAGATGACTTTAGCTTGTGTCAAGTTGACATAAACCCATCCAGCACACCCCCTCAGTCCATTCTGCTTTTGTCTAGACTGCTATAATCTTGACTGCAATCTTGTTTCCTCTTGGATCTGCCCTGTCTTTGAAAACTCTGATTTCATCTGTTTGGCCAGCACACTTAGCTCCTGTGTTTGCTCAAGAACTAAGCTAACCTCACTCATAGCTTTCCCCAAGTGTCAACACTTTCCTGTTTTTCTAGTTCATTGGCCACATGCTGTGGATTAGATGGGTCCTAGGGTTTAATGATACTTAATGTTGTGAGAGCCAAAGGCTGGAGAAATACTGAGGCATAATGTAGTAAAACACAGATAAATAGATAAACAAACAAACAACCAAACACAGGACTGTACCGAGAAGCCCCTCACAGCAGCTTCCCAAAGCCGCAGCAGTAGAAGCTCCACTCATGCGCCCTCCTGCTTTAGCGTGGAATAGATTAACCCGGATGTTTCCCAGACACCATGGAAGACTGGTGGCTGCCCTGATCTCATGTTAGGATAAAGGTATGTGCTTGCGTGCGCCCACATGAACTAGTGAGTGGTCTCATGAGAAGCAACGACTGTCTTCACACAGCTGAGACACAAGTTCTGCTTCCTCACCAAGCTAATTCCACTGAAATCCCTCATGCTGTTGGAGGGCTCTGATGAAACACAGACATGCAATTTCTACAACAGGGCAGCTCCCCGGGCCATGCTGGACAGTCTGCTTGGGCTGTGTCCTTCCGCTGAGATGAGGCCAATGAACAAAGTCTTGAAGATGGGAACAACAGGGAGTTAGCACCCGCCAGGAGGGCAGTGAGGATCAGAGCCTCAACGGGAATGGGCACAGCCTCGACAGGGATGGCACAGCCTCTTCTGTATCTACTAGAGACCCTTCTCTCTTTCTCTCAGCCATGGATAAACCCCACTGTGCAATGATAGCCTCCTGCTGAGGAAGGGTCTGACTTGTAGAAATGGCTAGAATGTGAGTGATGTAATTTGCGTTGGCCTCCCCTGCTCCTAGGAGTTACCCTCGTGGCTGCCTCTCACACTGGCACTTGTCCTTGGTGTGAGAGAAGAACACTGGAGCATGGAGAGGCACTGTGTCGGGCTGATGTGTAAATGCAGGGATGAAACTACAGGATAGTTTTGTTTTCATTACTGTGCTTCAATCATGTTTAGAGCCTGTCACCGCACTATAACTTGCCAATGCTGTGAGTTGAATCTGTCAAACTCACATGCTAGTCTTTGGTCTCAAAAGGGCTTTCCTTCCAAGCTCTGTGTCAATGTGACATGTATCTAGCTAAGAGATTGCATCTGAAGAAATCCAGGCAGGTGAACAGACACATCAGAACTGTTTGACTATCTATCTATCTATCTATCTATCTATCTATCTATCTATCTACCTATCTATATCTGGCAACCCAGGGTCTTTTTTCCTGGTTTAGATTTGCTTCTCTAAAAGCAATGAGGTCCAATTTTGGTAGGTGGCACAATCCTGGGAGCTGAAAAGTTGGGAGAGCTAACTGTTGAATCATAAAATACTGAATTTTTATGAATGACTCTTACAGGAGTAGCGTGTATCACCAGGGCGGTGGGTGTAGCAGCAGAGGGGCTCATGCAAGGCTTCCTAAGATGCCAGCAACTCTTCATCTTCTAGAGTCACCTGGTGGACCATGTGAGGTGCCAGCGTGACGTCTGCAGGCTGTGGCGGGTGCCCAGGATGCTGGGGAAAGGGTTTTGCACTGAGAGGAAGCCCAACTGTGTGCGTTTTAGTTCTTGAGGCTTTGTGACCTCTAGCTGCTACGGGGAGATGTTGGGATACGAGTGTCTTCGCACACTGTCCAGTCACCCTTTTTTCCCTGTAGAGGATGAAGCTGTTAGCTTTGTGGAAGTGAGATTCCAAGCAGTGGATAGGCCTGGAGTGAGCTTCCTTCTCACACGGGACTCCACAACAGGCATGGCCTTAAGAGGGGCACAGTGAAGCCCACCAGGACGCAACAGTTATGGTCAGTGTGGAACGGACATGGTGCATCTACACTGTCCTTCCATGGCACAGACCATGGGGAAGGTGGCTTCTGGTAGGCAGACTCATAGCAATATTTGGACCTTAAATGATCTCTGAGCACTTTTAAAATTGGAAAATTTACCCATTTCAGTCTTTTTAAAACTTTAATTAAAAACTTGTTTTGCTGTGTGTGGTATTGCATACTCATGCAGAGTCCAGAGACTGATGTTTGGTGTCTGTCCTTGATTGCTGTTCACCTGATTGCTTTGCGACCAGGTCTCTCAGTGAACCTGAGGCTCAATGATTAACCGCCTACACTGGCTGGTCAACAAGCTTTTGGGGATCTGTTTTGCCCCCACTCCCTCCTAGGCTATAGTTATATGCCCACGCTACTGTGCATGGCTTCTAACATGGGTTCTTCAAGCTTGCATGGCAGGCACCTCTCTGAAACATCTCCCTACCTGAAAATGGCATTTTGAAAGCAAACAATTGATTTATTCCATAGATTGATACAAAAATAACACTAACGGTGATGTGGGATTCCCCTTTGTATGCTGTGAATACCATTGGTTAATAAAGAAGCTGCATTGGGCCTATTGCAGTGCAGAGTAGTGCAAGGCAGGAATTCCAAGCAGACAGAGGAGGAGAGAGTGGGCGGAGTCAGGGGGGATACCATGTAGCTGTCACAGAAACAGACTCACTGGAGCCTTGTTGGTAAACCACGAGGCTAGTGCTAAAATATAAAATAATGGAAATGGGATAATTGAAGATATAAAAGCTAGCTAGAAAGATACCTAAGATATTGGTCAGGCAGTGATTTAATTAATACAGTTTCTATGTGGTTATTTCAGGTCAGGGCAGCCGGGAAACAAACGAGCAGCCACTGCCAACATAATGCCATGCAAAATAAATTCAACTCCAGGTGCCAGAAAGAAGTAAAGTAGAGCGTGACACCTTCCCACTTGGTGGCTGGAAGTCACAGGGCCACTGAGGATGCCTCCAAGTCTCCTGAATGCACCTCTGTGCACCTCTGGAATATCCCATCCTAGAACAATGCAGGGAACATTTTTCATTTAGCCAATAAACTAAAGCAAGTGACCCAGCTTTGCATCTGCATCCTTTTCTCCTGAAGGCACAGGTTGGAAGAGGAGCTTGTCTAGAGATTGTCCCCCTCAGTATCCGAGGAACAGTTGTGTCCTGAGTCTTCGAGATCCGCACCAACAGCCACAGGTGCAAAGACATCCCCACAGGTGGGGATGTCCACACGCTTACTGCCACCTAGTATCTACTCATCATGGCTGCTTTGGAGGAACTTTTATTTTTCATGTAGCACGAATAATAAAAACCCAGAGTCAGATATTGGGGTTCAACCTGAAAACCAGAAAAACCAAAGCAGCCAAGCCACTATAGAAGTTTTATCTCTACCAATGCTGGGTGACACAGACCAAGCATCCTAAGCCTCTCCTCTCATTTGATATTCCCTCTAGTGCTGTGATTAAAGGTGTAGGCCTCTTGGATTTGTTTCTGCAGGGATCTTAGCCCAGGGTGATCTTGAATTTACGAAGATCCATTTGCCCTTGTCTCCCAAATCCTGGGATTAAAGGTGTGTGCCACCACTGTCTGACCTCTAGGTCGGGACTTACGTTTGCCCTTCTGATCTTTAAGCAAAATTTATTAAGACATAAATAAAATATCGCTATATTAGCAAGCAAATCACTCATCCTTTTAACCCAGCCGCTGCTTTGTGTATGCGGGGAGAGTAAGAAAAGTGGTGAGAAGGCTGGGAGGTAGCTGAGTTGGTAGCGTGCTTGCCTGGTATACATGAAGCTGTGTCCAAGCCCCAGTTCTGAATACACAGGCCAAAGTGATATGTGTCTGTAGTTCTAGCACTTGGAAGCTGGAGGCATGAAGATTAGGAGTTCAAAGCTTGTCTCACCTATGTAGTGAGGCTAAGGCCCGCTGGGAATACGTGAGACCCTGTCTCAAAAGAAGAATTGATAAGAAGCAAAATGACAATACTGGCTCTATTTGGTTGGCCCTCTTGCCTTTGAGATGAGTTTTCCTGGTTCCCTCCCCCCCCCCGCCCCCACGCATCTTTGAACAACAAGAAGCCCAAACAGTCCAAGTAATTGCATGGAATCAGCCTAGAAACTGGTACTTCCTTCATAGTTGGAAAACCAAAGTGGCAACATTTGAGGGTGGCTAGGCACACAGCCATGCTTTCTGGTATGTTCTAGACAGCTCCCTGGAACTGTCAACCAGGTGTTTACAATACTGGGCTCCTATGCCTCCATCTTGTAAAATGTTGCCCCTGACACGCGATTTCATGCAGAAGAAAAGCTTCCAGTGGGGCTGGAGAGCCGGCTTCATGGTTAAAGGTACTGACTACCCTTCCAGAGGACCTGGACTCGATTCTCAGCACCTTCATGGCAGCTCACAACTATCTGTGAGTTCAGTTCCCAGGGACTAGATGCCCTGTAATGATTTCTGAAGGCACCAGGCATGCATGTGGTGCACAGACATTCACAGAGGCAAAAAATATCTATAATCATGAAAAGAGAAAGACAGACAGGCAGAAAGGAAGGAAGGAGGGAAGGAAGAAAGAAAGGAAGAAAGAAAGAAAGAAAGGAAAAGAAAGAAAAGAAGAAAGACTTCCAGTAGGTTAGCTCACAATGATTGATCCTGAGGCCGGCTATCAGGTATGCATGGTTTTATTTAAAATGTGTCCAATAGGATTTTCCACTTGGAATGAACATTTTACCTCTTTCTGCATGTTCTCATAAACATTACCTCCTCGTTTCATGGAGTTTCTTAGGAATTTCTAGGTAATTTAACAGAGGAGCAGAATGAAAGTGTGGGGAGATTAAATCACAGGAGGTTCACACCGCGGTGAGGGTGCTCCTGCCTCAACCTCAGGGACGCACAAGTGAAGAGCGAGCGGGTGAAGTAACAGACCGGGTCATGCAAGTCCTCCTCGAGTCACTTGGTGTCCTTTGGCAGTTCTGGCGTCTCCTGTCACTAGCACGGAAGACGAAATGAGTCCGATGACCTCAGCAAATGGGCAATTGTCTTGTGGTGGCTGAGAGGAGATGGACACAGATGCCCCGTCGTCGAGCATTCCCTAACGTCTGAAGAGAATGTTCCCTCTGGCCCGTCTGCTGCTCTGAGCCCCGGGGGGGGGGGGGGGGGGGGGGGGGGGTGCGTGCACCTTACGTCCTGAACCTCCCTGGTGGCCGCAGCAGCCCCTGCCTCTCATCAAATGGCACTGGTTTATCTGTGAACAGCAGCACAGCACAAGATAAGCATGGGAGCACATTTTAATCGAGAGGGCAGTTGTCGTTTTAAGTCAGCGCTAGAGCCTGGCAATGTTAGATTTGTGTTTTCATGAGCCAAAGGTCATAGCATGAATGAGGTCTAAATATCATCACAGCAGACCACAGGCCACAGAAAGAAAGATATGTCTTCAAGTTATGTCGACCTGCCAGGAAGAGAAACAGATACAGAGTTACAGCGAACGGGGCCGGCAGGGGCCCGGTGGTGGTGGTGTGCGGTGCTCCTGACTTGGGAACAGAGCCTTGGACATGGAAATGAAGTGGGCGGGGCTTTGAGATTCCGGCCCGCTGCTCAAAGCTGCTGTCGCGGAAAGAAGCTAAGGGCAACGCGACAGGTGGGTAGGGGGGTGGAGGGGCGGGGGTGGGGCTGGGAAACATCACCAAGTCGACCTTCGTTCTAAAGTGACTTAGAGCCGGTCATTTCTTATGGAAACATAATCCCCAACAGTTTGCTCTTTCTCTCCGTAAACACATCAGTTCATAAATAACTTAAGCGTGTCCTCTGCATTCAGGACACAGTTCTGGCTGGAGTAGAAAAGGACAGAAGACGCGCAGCGGTGGGAGAAGATGGCAGGATGGAGTGTGGACGGGCGGCTCAAGCGTCTAGGGTGCGTGCGGGCGTCAGCCATCAGACACGGGAGGGGTGACCCAGCCGTATTTCTCATGAGTCTTCACCAAACTCTTGAAGGTTGCTTCGGCTTCCTTGCGGCTGAAGGACTTTTTTGACTTGCCAGCTTTCCTGCAGATCCGTCCCTGCGTGAGATGGAAAGAGACACCAGGTTAGAGGCTCAGCCGAGGACCCCGCTCCTCACAGGGTTGTTAAAGGGACGTACGGAGGTGGGCGGAGTTCTGATGTCTGAATCTAGGAGATGTGTTGGCCACCAGCAAGGATGATGGGACACTCTCGTCAGAGCAGACATGGAGGGTTACAACTTTGAGAAGGAGCACACCGGGGAACCACGTACTGTAAACATTTTGGGGTGCAGGCACTTTCCCCCAAACCACAGCCCCAGCTTTATCCAAACTGGTTCAATCTGTGAGCCTGGAAGGCAGCTTCCCTGCATTCCTGAGACACAGCTGAAGGATCCCTTAGGAGAGGAGCCTTCTCGCCCGAATGCTTCAAGTCTAATTTCTGGGTTTACTTTGATGGGCGCGGAAATAAATAAATTTATAATAGATGTTTGTATTATGTGTTCCCAGTGCAATTAAAGACCGAATTTTAAAATCCAAGCTTGGGAGCTGTTACGGCACTCCCGGCCGTTCATACAGCTTGGGAGGCAGGTAGAGGTCAGAGGTCAGAACCACGCGTGTGCTGAAGCTGAAGACTGGGTCGTGCAGTGGACCAGAGGATTTGGGTGGCTGAGAAGACTCTGAGGACAAGTTGGGCGTGTTTGGCTGTTTGGTATGTGACAACATGTTCTCATCTACAGAGTTCATTTTTGAAAACCACATAACTGAGTAACAAAAAGAATGCAAAAAAATTCATGTTTTTTTAAAGTCTTCATTATTTTTTTTAAAAAAAGATTTATTTATGATGTATATGGAGTTCTGCCTGTATGTCTGCCTGCGGGCCAGAAGAGGGCACCAGATATCACTATAGATGGTTGTGAGCCACCACGTGGTTGCAAGGAATTGAACTCAGGACCTGTTGAAGAACAGTCAGTGCTCTAAACTGCTGAGTCTCCTCTCCAGCCCCCAAATCCCATCATGTTTTCAGTAAGTTTATACTTTGGTGTTGGGCCAAATTCATAGCTGCCCTCAGCCACATGCAACCCGAAGGCAGAGGGGTGGACATGCCTGCTAGACCTTCAGAGGCGAGAGAAGAAGTATCACAATGGAAACAGAGTATATCTGAGAGCCTGTGGCTTGTCCCCAGAAGGTGGGATGGCAGTGGGCCCTTACTGGATAGCGGGCTGTGGTTCTTAGCCATCTAGCCTTGTACGTGCCTGCTCACCTGAATTGGCCCCTTTGGCGTTGTGGACTTACTTACTCACTCCTAACCAGGGTCATGCTTTCCTGGAGTTTAGCTCTCTTTGAGTAACCCTGTGCAACCCTGTACAACCATGTACAACCAAGTACAACCACGTACATGTCGTACACAGATGCGGCCCAGACACCCAGAGACACAGTTGCCTTCAATCAGCCAGCAAGCATCTGCATCTGGTCGCCCACCGCTTCATGGTTATTGAGCAGGTTCTCTGCATTCTGGTACGCTTCACACGGATGTCACAGCACAACTGTGTGTATATACTGGACCTTAAACTGGAGTCAGGTCTCCAGGGTCCACTACCACCTACACACTGAGGGTGGGATCTACCCAGGCTATGGGACCAGAGGCTGCAAGCTTGCTGCAACCCTAGCTCTCTCCGATAAACCAAGTGAGAGACGCTGGACTGGCTCCTGAATCCTTGGCCGGTGATGCTGGATCCCAGAAACCTGATTATGGAAGAACAGCTCGCAGGTGTGAACTCAGAACTCACACTTCCAGTCCACGGGGGCCTTTTTATCCACAAGGCAGAAACCCAGGGAGGGTTGCTCTACACGTCCCGTGGCCCTCTGCCTCTCTGCTACCTCCCTGCTCTCCGGGACACCTGACACCCTTTATAGAGGCTCCCAGTCAGAACAAGCGATCTTTCAAAGGGAGAAAGAGGACCTGAGGGGAGGCAGCAGCTCCTGATGACTGTAATGATGTCCCCAAGTCTCGCCAGGGCACGAGCCCCATCTTCAATTATTTACTTCCATACCGTATGATGGGTGGTTATACCTTATAACAAGGGGCCACCAAGATTTAGAACTTGCACAGCCGCTGCTGAGGTCACAGCCCAAAGCTTTGGCATCAGATGTAGAGGAAGGTGTCTGTGTAGGGATGTTGGCTTACACGTCCACGAGAGCAGGCAGTTTTAGATAATGTGTGTGTTTTATTCCTTTGTACCGTACTGATGACTGCTGCTGTGGCTGAGAATTCGAAATTAAGGGAGCCAGACAAACAGGCTCGCAACGACTCTGGAATATTCAGTGGCTTTGTCAGGAACATAAGCTTCGCCTATTCTTTGTCCAAGTCCCTACTGTTACGAGATCCAACCAACAAACCCCTACTGGGACAAGTGGCCCTTTGTTGCTTTTTTTTCCTCTTCTTCCCGGGAGGATCATGAACATAGAGTCCAGTGCGAAGTCAATTTGATAGCAGGGGGAGGCTGCCAGGAGCCAGCAGCTCGGTGCCTCCTCCCCACTGAGCTAGCCAGCGAGAGGCCCTCAGCCCTGCAGTGAGCACACACCACCGGCCCGCTTCAGATGGGCCGCTTCGGCTCACACAGGTCAACGCTAGCTTTTGCAGGGGCATTTCTTTCCCCAGTCCTGCCAGGGGGCCGAGTTGTTCTCACTGATGTGTCTGCCCTGCAGTGCCACGAGGCAGGGAGAGGACACCCCTCGCCCACACGTCCTGTGGCCACTGCCGAGCCCATAAGGGAGTTTCTAGATTGCACTGGCCGAGTGGCGAGAGACTCACAGTGAATGTGGCTGGCAACATTCCATGAGCTGGGGTCCCTGACTAAGAGGAGAAGGCCAGCCGAGCACCCAGCATTCATCTCCCCTGCTTCTTCATGGAGCTCCGGATGTGGTACTGCCCAACGCTCCTATTGGCCTCATTCCCTGTGGTGATAGGCCGGAGCCCAGATCTGTGAGCTCAGATAACCCGCCTCCCCTTACATCACCTTTGTCAGGACTTCAGTAGCAGCAACAAGAAAGTTAACTAAGCACTTGTTCCAGATTCACGGAGACAAGAAATGAACCGGAAGCACTGAGGATTGTGTAGGAGATACAACTAAGGTCCGGCTGCCTTATTCTCAGAGCATCCATCTTCCCTGTCTGTTTCCGTATAGTAACCAGAGTCTAGTCTCAGATACTCCTCTGAATGATTCTCATTTCTCCTCGACTATCCTTACTTATATCTCACGAGAGAAGACTCGGAGGTGACACTCCCTCCTTCTTGATGAGAGCTTAGGGTCATTCTCCAGAGTTTACGACAACTTTCTTGGTGCCCTTTCCATCTCTAGAGCTGCAAGTTGTTAAGGGGGCACCAGGGAAACATAGTGGTTAAGGGTTCAGCCCAACAGAGATGAGAAAGAGGATTAATAAGAACACAGGAGCTGGGCCTGCACCTGTGACACAAAACCCTCAGGGGGGTCTTTGGCTTGATCTTGCTTTGCCAGAGGCTTTAAAAACATATAAATGTATGTGTGTGAGTGTGTGTGAGAGAGAGAGAGAGGAAGAGAGAGAGAGAGTCGTGTGATTAACCATGAAGACATCCCGATGTCTTAGCAGCTAACAGGCGATCTGAAGAGCGGTCCTCTCTGACTCTGTACAGTTTCCACTGTATCCACCTACTCGCTGACCTTCCGTTGTCAGAGGCACCCTCAGCTGCTTTGTGACTTCATTCATTCCGTGTGTTGGGCACTGGCTCAGGAAACACCAGTGATGCTGCCTTTGGGAGCTGTGGGACCATCATGTGGACACGATAAGGGTACAAGTGTGTTGTGGCTTTGTTGGCAGTAGTGACACTCGGCTTGGGTATGTCTGCTTGTAGGTTACCCTGTACAGAGTATGTATACGTGTTGTGTCTGGCCTCATTCCATTAGGTGCTCGGTATGACAGTGTACTTGTCCAGGCAATGTCAAATGTCTTGGAAAAACAGTCACTACCAACTGATATGCGACTTGGGGTCAAGCAAAGGGGCTGGGCCTATCCTTGCCATTCAGCAGATATGCCTGGCCTGCCCCTGGAGTGGGAGCAGTGCTGGCTGCTGGGGTGAATCAGATCCTAAAGGTCTCCCAGCCCAGCTTTGTCAAAGGAGAGGGAAGGAAAGGCGTGGGGCTGGGGAGACAGCTCAGCGGTGAAGGCTAGGCTGGCAACCGAAAACACAAGAGGAAGGGTGTGATGGGTGGTGCCTGTGTCCTCAGAGTGTTTTCTTGGTGGTGCTGGGACCAGTTTTGAAATGTAGCCCCAAGTAAAAGCTTAAAATAGACTGCTGCACTCTGGGAGCCACGGCCAGATGCTCTGTGGGCTCACACAGGGAATTTTTAGGCTGTGTGGTGCATGCACGCACGCACACGTGTGTGTACTTACGCACGTGTACGTGCACTGTGTGGGGGAGGAGCAGAATTCAACTGATTTGCTTTTAAATCCTCATTCCCACACTCCCTGTGTGTGTGTGGCTGTGGGCAAGCTGCTGGTTCTCGGTTTCACTGCTGGTAAAGACGCACGGCCGGGCTCCCGAAAGGATTGGACTCGCAAAGCAGTGACCGGGTTGCTACTGTTGTAATCATGTCGTCCATGTGCTTTAAGGTAATGCCAGTTTGCCTTCTTTTAAAAAAAGTCACGGAAATACTGCCTTTGAAAGTGGGTATTATGACTTAGGTTGTTTGTTTTAAAGCTGCCTCCAGGTGAGCAGGATGCATCTCGTTATCTAATTCCTCAGACTTCTCGTGTCCACTGTAGCTGTGGGACATTAACACCCCAGTTCCGCATCGCTCACTTCCGTGGGTTTTTATTTATAAATAACCCTGTTTGGTATTTGTGCGCCTTTTCCCTGTGAGTTTCGAGGGTCTACTAATGTTTCCAGGGTCCTCCCGTAGACTTTCCGGGCTCCTGAA